TGCATGAAGTCCAATCAACTTGATTGGGCATTATTCTACTAGAATGCAGTTATAAAGTTTGCTTTTTACTTGTGTGCCCCCCTTTTTTTTTTTTTTTTTTTTAACAATTACTCATTGCAAACATTGCTCCAAGAGCCGCACATCGCGCTGACAAGGTCTAAAATGATTTCTTCCGTGGTTTCAAAGCCTTTGGTTTTATGTTTTTATCCTATGATCCTCACCGAGACAGGTTTCCACTGCCGGCAGGGAGATTTCAACCTGCTTAAGGCTTGCAGAAGGGCCTCTTGCTCCTCGCTGAGTGTCCCCAACGTGCATCATCATGCCCTGCCAGCAGCTCCGGGTGCGGGGCTCCTGGGAGATTGACACCTCCGAAATGCCGGAGCGCATTGCTCGAATGACACCGGCGGCACAGCTACCGAGAAGCGAGAGGCACGGGTGCCAAAATCTATATCTGGGTGTGTACGCGAGGTGTGTGGTCTCTCGGGTATTTTGGGATGTGAAATGCCACTGGCCGCCGCGCAAGCATTCACGTCGGTAAAATAAGAAAGGTATTTTTTGTTAATCCTTTGCGAGTGCACTGTCATGTGCTAATTGGTCACAGGAAATGAGATGTAAGATGTTGGGGTTTACTGTCAGCTTGGGATGTCGAGTTAATACCTAAAAAGACCCAAATTCAAGCTACGTGCTCAAATGTTCTTCGCTTACAAGTGTGTTTCCCCAGCAGAGCGGCGGATTTCCCCGATATGGTTTGAACAGGGTCGCTGTTGTGAGGAACGAATAAAACTAAAACAAACAACGAGGCTCTGGTGTGTCCTGTTACTGGTGGGGAAGTGAAACGAGCTTCGCCCAAAGTTTTGACAACATCTCTAATGAACTGTGAACACTCGGGTGTTAGAAGCTGATACGTAACGCGTGCGCTTCGAATAGAACCAATAAAATCAAATTCCTCCTTTGTAATTTGTTTCTTTGTTATTGTACATATGTGACAAAGCTGTTTAGTTTTAAGATAAATTTAAGATAAATAGTATTTAGTTACTGGGAGGTCTTTGGTTTAGAATATTGGTATTTATTTACATACTCTGAGGAAAAAAAATCCCCACCAACTAATTTAGCTCTAGAGCTGCACTGTCCAGCTACAGTGTAGAGCTGTGCAGTCCTTGTGGCTTGAGGATCCCTGACCAGCAAAGAGGCAAAAATGGTCAAGAAAAGCTGAGGACGGCTTTGAAATGCTCATAGTTTCTAGGTCAGGGCTTGTTTAGCCATAATTTCTTGTTAACGTCTGGGGCATCCCACAGCCCCGTGAGTGCCTTTTGTCAGCGTTGCTGTGCAGCACTAAGAATAGTAAAATAAAAATCATGAATAAAGGGCTTGTGCTTTCTTTTCCAGTTAGTGCTGACTTCAGAGAGCGGCCTCCCAGATGAAATCCTGGCTCTGCTGACACCGCTCCGTGCGTGGGTTGGAAAGTTGTGCCACGCTCCTGGGCTCCGCTTCGCACGCACCAGCAAGTGGGTTCACTACCAGAGCGCCTTTTATTTCGAAGTTGTCGTACGGTTTGGCTTTTTTTCAGACAGGTTTCCCGACGTTTCTGAAATGCATCCCCGATCTGCCCTGAACCCCCGTGGAATTCCACCTCCTGCCCCATCTCCATGACATCCCCAGCTCGATGCTCTCCGCAGAGCTGGGCAGGGGAGCCCTGTGACCCTTCACATCTCTTCCTAAATCCACATCTCCCCAGCTCTTCTCCTCCTGCATGCCGGGGGGTGAGCGCAGGATGCCGAGGGCTGTGAGGAGGGGATGCACAATCTCTGTGACCGAGCTGGGACTTGACAGCAAAATTACACAGCAAGGATTTCGCGATGGGGGCTGGATTTGGGCCAGGAAAGTCAGCCTAAGGCCCCTTCTCTTGTGAAGAGCATCGCCTGCTCCCTCTGAACAAAAGCAGCCGGAGTGCAGGGTTTGGGTCTTTTCCAGGCGATGGCATTGCTGGAGCTGAGCTGCTCTGTCATGATACAGCTCGAGGAACTGCCCAAAATACGGCTCCCGAGGCTGTGCTGGCTTCTCCTTGGGGTCATCTTGGTGCCTGTTTCCCGTTTTGTTTGCAAGGTCACACCCCAATATGGGACGGTGCTGCCTCTGCAAATTAATTTCTTTGTTTCTCTGCTATGAGGTTCAGAAGCCACCAGGTTAAATATCCGGAGCTTTTACGTAAGTTGGGGTTTTTTTGCTTTAAGGCTGATTATGGCTCAAAGTATTTGGATAATTGGTCATGAAACAGCCGCCTTCTTGCAGGTAACTTCCTTGCATCAACACTAATTTAACTCAACGTGTCCCCCCCACCAACCCAGGCCCTGGGAGACCCTCCAGTGGTGCTCTGTGGCTGCAGGAAATTAAAAAGCAGAAACTCGAGGCTGAGAGAGCAGAGTAGGAAGGATGCCTGTGGCATGCTGCGGGGCTGGGATCGCTGCTCGGGCTGGAGATCAGTCCTTCACAGGACGGGCTCTGAAATGGGGCCAGCGAATAATCCTTTCCTTTCCCCAAAGAGGGGACTCAGGTCCAGTAAAGCGCAAAAATCGTATTGAAAGGGGCAGCGTCGGCAGCAGATATGCTCTGGGGATGGGGTCCCACAGGCAGCTCTGCAGAAATGTGCTAGAAAACAAAAGTTTATCTCAATTTGTTAGTTACAGCTCAGTCCAATCACATCAAAATTCCTTCTGCCCTTCCTCCTCCCAGCTCCCCAGACTGGTGGCCAAGGCGTGGTGATGGAGTGGCTGAAGAAGTTGAAGTTATCTGTTAATTAACCTCTCTCATGAGATCGTGTCTTATCATTTCACCTCCCCACCTGGAGCTTTGGGGAGTTCGGCAGAGCCAAACCGCGGGGCAGATCCCACTGGGCTGGAGTTTTCGGTTGGTTTATGTTCTCCCGATGGCTTTGCCCTGGGTCAGAGGTGCTTGCAGCACCCCTGGTTTTCGGCGGCAAGCACAACCGCTGGATCTGTCCCGATCCCTGCTCCGGCTCTGCCTTCACACCCAGCCTCACAGCCTGCCGGGTCCTCAGCCCCACTCTGCCTCTCCCTCGTCACACAAAACAATTTTGAAAGCCTGCAGACTGCACTTTCAGCAGCTTCTTATAGGTCTGTGCATCTCCTCTGGCCTTTCTCAGCCTCAGGTTAACGACAGGATTGCCAATTAACTGAAGCTAATGAGCACTTCTGCATGAGCTAGTTTCATTTTTTCACAATTGTTTGCTCCAAGAAACAAATATATGTGCCTTACTCAAAGCTGCACCTCGGGATTGGCCAAACATGTGTGTGTCCTGGAACAAGTGCTCACAGAGCGTCCAAACTAGCAAGCACAGAGACGCTGACTAATTGCAATAAATTGGCAATTGTTAACGCTCTTTCTGCTGAAGAACCAAGGCAAGAAGCAAACGTGGATGTGAGTTACCCTGCTGACATCAAAGGCTGTGTTTACGTAAGCGCTGCTTGTGCTGAAGAACTGTAGCTGAGTTGGACCCTTTGGTGAGCAACTGACAATTCGTTTGCAAATGAACTTTGGAGAGAGACCAGGCACAGCTGCCAGCGGTCCTCTGGTTAGAGCCAGGCCAGGCTGTGCAGGCTGCGGGGATGCTGCAGCCCCGGGAAAGGTCCCCAGAAGGAGCAGAGATCTCTTCTCTTCTGCTCCTGCACCATTTCCAGACCGGTGGTGGGTGCACGCATGAGGATGACCCCCCCTAAAGCATAAATGCGCAGCTCATCATAGGAGCGCTCAGCATTTTTTTGCTGTTAGGCACCAGTACCAGGGTGACACGATGGCAAGTTTTATTGTCCCACCTGCACCGAGCAACACTCGGGGAAGCCACGGAGCACCCGGCTGCCTTGTGGATGGTGCTCACGATCGGCGTCCTCTCATCAGCCCCGTCTCCGGGGCTGTGGAAGCCAGCAGCCAGTTGGGCTGGGGGCATTTCTCCAGGTGAGGTGCGGTGAAATCCTCCCACGTGCCACGGCCGGGAGGGGACAGGTAGAGGGACGGGGATCCAGCCCCACGGCTCAGGGTGGCTCCCAGCCTGCTGTCCTGCCCTGTGCCCCTGCCTGCCCCACGGATGGAATGCATTTCAGCTTCACATCCCTTCACTTACCCAATAACTATTGTTCCTTAAACGCAATTTTGCAGTCCTTTCCATGGCAGACCTTTTCCTCCTTGCATTTTTACCCAACTAGTTTAAGCGCCTTTTTAATGCTCAATTTTCACACTGAAAAATCCCTCTTGGTCACACTCCTTGATTTCCTCGTCTCACACGAGCCCGCTACTGTAGGCAAACCTCTGGGCCTCAATTATATATCCCAGTAATATATAGCCAGGCCTGGCTAATGTCAAGAAACCCAGTGAGGAGCGCCAGAGGTTTCCGAGAGCTCTGGCGGCAGAACCGGGCTCCGTGCGGGGAAGCCGGGCTACATCATGTGTTGGGATGCGGCCGGGACCCTGCGGCACTGGCCAGTGGCGTGTGATGGCAACTCGGTTCACATTTGAAATGGTCCTCGTGGGCAGAGGGACATGGTCAGGGATATTAAATACGAAAAGTGTGGGGTCTGGCAGCCCCAGGCAGCTGCCTGAGCACACGTCCTCTTGTTTCCAGGCCACAGATGCTTTCTGCATCGCTTTTTACGCCACCGAGCTTTGACTGAAGCTGTACGTGGGTCCCATCGCCGCCTGCCAGAGCGGCCACACCATCGTGGGTGCCACCATCCTCCTCCTCTTCCTTCCTCCCCCACACCTTGCCCACAACCCACACCTGGAGGGGACAACCGAAGGTCTCCAGCCTTGCTGTGTTCTCCAGCTCACCCAGCAGAGCAGCAGGATGAGGGTGAAGCACGGCTTTCCAGCTCCGTCACGGCAGAGAGGGGGGACCCCAAGCCCAGGAGCGGGGAGAGGTTTTGCAATCCCCTGTGCCAGGGGCTGCCCAGCCCAAGCAAGTCTTGTGACACTTGATGAGCAAAGACAAAAACTAATCATTCCTGATTTTTTAAGAAGCTTGGCCATTTTTTTTCTTTGTTTCTCCTTCCCTCAAGGAAAGGAGAGATTTTCTCTTTTTTACTACAGCAGAGTAAACATAAAACAACCCCTATAAAACAAAGGTCACGTCCTGTGCTTGGTCTGTGTGTATTTCTCTCTCCATCTCCTACTTAGTTTTCTCCTGACGACCCTGGAGGTTTGTTTTTCAGCAAGGAACTTACGTGGGCAATGAATGCACAGCCAGCATTTCTGTGTGTAATTAATTGGCTGAGTAGCCCACCAGAAGTGGGATGTTTATGGGCACAGGGCTCTTATAATGTTCACTTCTGAGCCATCGTTCCTCTAGCTTGGATTGTAAACTTACTTATCACCAGACTTTTATATGTTAATTATTCTGTGTCGCTGGGAGAAGGGAGGACACGTCGAAGCCCGTGAAATAATGAGTGGTTTAGGCATGGGGGGGAGCTGTCGGATGCTCCAGTTTGATCTGGCCGATTATAAAAGAGCAAATTGATGCACAGCAAAATGAGGAGACCTTTAAATCAGGGCAAGTGTGTGTTTTGTTGGTTTGAGCCTCCTGCGCTTGTGGAACTCACTGCCAGGAGATGCCTCGCCTGGGGACCACAAGGAAGAAAACCTGTAGGATGAGATTTGGCACCGTTCCCCCCAGAGACGCTTAAAGTGTTGAGGTGCTTTGAGAAAAAAAGAAAAAATCACTCGGCACAAATCTGCGAGTTTAAGAG